CCATTCAAAGATACGGCACTGAAAAAAGGGGGCTGATAAGCATTTTTTTGCAATGACACCCTTTTGTAACATCCCTGCAATCACGGGAGCAAAATTCAGCTGCTTTGACAACGGGTTCATACTTATGACCGCTGCAGCGTTCCCTGAGTGTGAGTGCGTGTGGTGTCACGTGATCCCCTTTTGCGACCTCCAGACAAGCCAAGTCGATGGGGAAGCCGGATTCACTTAACGACTGGGTTGCTAACTTTCTCACTTGCCACGGTTCCCTTAACGACTGTTGCGAGCAGCGTCGTAAAATGGAGTGAAGCTCACGTAACACGTTCTCACTGAACAACGGCAATGTTGGGGTCGTAAATGCAGGACTGGCTGTATTTGTATCGGCCTTTCACACATCACTCTAATTCCCTATAATTTGCCCCAAAATCTCTTAAATTAATCCCAGCATTAATTTAGTTGCTTCACCCTAAATCAGGGCTGTCAAACTCAAATTTCATTGAGGGCTATGCTTGACCTCGGAAGGCTGAGCGGGCCTGGCTGACTGGGTGTGGCCAACCGGATGGGCGTGGCCAGCCTGACACCACTCCCCAAACTGCTGGCATCTTTCCTCTTCACATTGAGTAGACCAGGCCGATCCTGCGGGCCAGATCCAGGAATGGGATTCAACCGGTTCGGATCGGTTTGTAGCTCCAACGATCAGTTAGTGCGCAGCAGAGCGACTCAGCTGTTTTCCTCCCCAGCAGTAATGCGGAAGGTAAATTTTCTCAAAACTGCGTGCGCGGACACACGCAACCGGTTGTTAAATCAGTAGGCTCCTACCACTGGCCAGATCCGAACACATTGCGGGCTGGATTCGGCCCGCGGGCCTCAGCTTTGATCCCACTTCTTGCCCTAAATCATGTCTTAAACATACACGTGGATAGTTAGAGACGGCAGGAAAACTTTTTAATTTTCTCACAATTATTCTAACAGGGCTGCACTGTGAAATGTCCCCGGGGACAAAGAGACAAAACGAACATCAAAAACTTGGTCACTACGCGAGAAGTCCTTTAAGAGGAACGGCCAGCGCGCGAGAGCGCGGCTTAAGAAACAGGCTGTTCCTTAAAACAAGCTCCCCATTAACTCACAAACCCCTCCTCTAAAAATGAGCAAACCAAGTTCTCCCACTACGTTTAAGCAAAGGTGACTTTTGCAGAAGGCAAACGCAGAAGAAAAATAATGGGAAGAAAATAAAACTACTGGGAGGAAAGTCGTGGCTCTTTCCAAAACCAGAACGCACATCGCCTTAATGTCTCGCGGCTGAGAAGGAGGTGAAAAAAAAAACTCAAGTTGTTTCCAAAGTTGGCAAAGCCATTTACAAAAAATTGTGAGTGTGGTTAGAATCCGGACTCTTCCGACACAGATTTTCAGAAAACAAAAATTCCGTATAAGCCCACAGAACTATAGAGTATCTTTTGTGGGGGGTTTTTTGGGGTGGGTGGGGGATTAAGAGAAGTGTTAGCTGCCTTTTGTCTGCAAATAAGCCTGTAGTAAAAAAAAAAAGAAAAGAAAATTTACAGCTTTATGCCAAGAAAGATTAAGCGTCCTCCTGGAAGGGGTGGGGGGGTCAGATTTATGTACAAAGAACGTCCTTGGCCACCAACGATGCACTGAGTAGGTGCAGCTTTTCACTCCACCAGGAGGTCAAATTTCTCGGCTTCTTCAAACTCGGCGTTCATCTGCGCAGCCCACTCATCCATCTTGGATTTCTGCAAAGGCAAGAAAGTGACTTTTATTTGGATAGAGAGAACCCCCTGCGTTGACAATCAATCCACGCTAGGGGGTTAACACGTGCAATTAAAGAGAAGGAGCAAACTGGATATAGTAGTATATGGCAACTATTCTACCAATGGTTCGAGAACAAATATGAAAGTTAGAAAGTAGATTAGTGAAATATGGAAAATATATGAATAGAATTAAATAATCATAGAATCAGCAGAATTAACAAGGGGTGTGTGGGAATGTAAGATTGTATATAAAATAGTACTGAATAATAAGTATAAGATAAATATATGGACATAGGATATAAGATGCATTATATAGAAATAAGTACATGGAAAGAATAATAGGAATAGAAGAAATATAAGTATAAATAACTATGAGTAGATGAAAAATGTGTAAAAATAGACAGACAGACAGACAGA